GACACGGTGTCCTCTAGGTCTTCCTAGTTGCTGGCTCTGCACGGCGTCCTTCAAGGCCTCTGATGTTTCCACGGCAACCACCGGCAGGATTGCGCAGGCGCACGGCTCGTGTGCGCTTCCGGCCCCGACTCCGTCCATCAGGCACCGCCGTGCCTGCGTCACACGCTGTCGCGCGTCTCTCACCTCCGCTGTCACTGTTCCCCAATGTTTTTCCCTTCCGGCCACCAGGGATTGCTCCGTCTCCGCCAGCACTCGCCGCCGCTGATACCATGCCGCCATCCACGCCGTCTGCACCGTCCATGCCGTCCGTGTTGCCACCACACGTCCAGCATCCTGTCTCACACAGTGGCCAACCAGTTCCTCTGGAGGGCCAACAACAGGACAGAGAGGCTGAGGTCTTCATATGCACATAAGAAGACCCCTGCTGGATCAGACCCGTGGTACATCTAGTCCAGCATCCTGTCTCACACAGTGGCCAACCAGTTCCTCTGGAGGGCCAACAACAGGGCAGAGAGGCCAAGGCCTTCATACGAACGTAAGAAGAGCTCTGCTGGATCATACCAGTGGTCCATCTAGTCCAGCATCCTGTCTCACACAGCAGCCAACCAGTTACTATGGAGGGCCAACAACAGGTCATAGAGGCTGAGGCCTTCCCCTGATGTTGTCTCCTGGCACTGAGATTCAGAGGTTGACTGCCTCTGAATGTGGAGGTTCTCCTAAGTCATCATGGCTAGTAGCCACTGATAGACCTATCTCTACGAATCTATCTAATGTCCAGTGTTCACTCAGTATGAATTACAATTGTGTGCCAATTCCTAATACAAGCAACTGTTAGCAGTGTTTATGGGATGTCCAGTATTATTTATGTGATGTCCTATCTTGTTGATTTTACTAATTTATTGTGTGTAATCTGCCTTGAGTCGCTGTGAGAAAGATGGATCATGAATAATGCAAATTTAAAAAAGTAATCTTGTAATGCGCGAGGTGTCCCATGAGGCCGCTGTATGGACTACAGTTTTAACTGACACATTTGACAGTTCCTCTTTGTGCATCTGCGAAGCACATATGGGTTTTTAAGAACTTTTGCATACACAATCAGGTGCCAGGAAATAAGCCCAACTGAGATACTCTGCAAAGTGTTTCACAAACGGGTTGGGTGGGAACAGATACAACAATCCCAATGCCTGTTTTATACGTGCATCTTCACACGAGTGGGTGGTATTAAGCACACATCCATGTGGATGAGCTACCACAGGTCCGATCCAATGAGTCTGAGTGGTTTTCAAGTGAAGATGATCATCAAGTGTACGGTAGTCAAGGGAACTAGGTTTGAGTTCAGTAACACCTAAGAGTCAGTTTGGTGCAGTTTGATTCCCCATTCCTCCACATGCAGCTGCTGGTGTGACCTTGGGTCAGTCATAAGTTCTTTCAGAGCTGTCCTCTCAAGAGCAGTTTCTGTCAAGAGCTCTCTCAGCCCCACCTCCCTCACAGGGTGTCTGTTGTGGGGAGGAGAAGGGGAAGGACGTCATCCTCAAAGCGCAGCGGAGCCTGAGGGACGTAAGCCGGGCCGAGGGAGGGCGTCTACTCCGTGCCGGATCGAGCGCCAGGGAAAAACAACAGCCGATGAACCTCCGGGAACGAAGCCAGAAGCCGAAGAACATCAGCCTCCACCAGGGTGCTGGTAGGCTGCCCCAGCCCCCTTCCAGAATGTGGCCATAGTTAAGGATAAAATCGTGATTAGCACTCCTCAATGTGAACCGCCCAGATACCCCTACGGGGGTTAGGGCGGTATACCAAGTCGAATAATAAATAAAAAAATAAAAATAAGGAGTTTGTAAGCCACTCTGAGACTCTGAGTGAAAAGCGGGGTATAAATCCAATCTCCACTTGCAGCTGCTAGTGTGACCTTGGGTCAGTCACAAGTTCCCTCAGAGCTGTTCTCCCAAGGGCAGTTCTGGAAAGAGCTCTCTCAGCCCCACCTACCTCACAGGGTGTCTGTTGTGGGGAGGGAAAGGGAAAGGAGATTGTAAAACGCTCTGAGACTCCTTCGGGCGGCGTATAAATCCAATCTCTTCCCTTCTTCTAAGAGAGCAACAAGATTTTCAGGTTGTAAGCTTTCGAGAGCCAAAGCTCCCTTTCTCAGATTGTATCTGAAAATCTTGTTAGACTCCGAGCTGCCACTGGATTTGAGTCAAGCTACTCTGCTGCAGACTAACACGGCTACCCTCCTGAAACAGTAGTCAAGGGAGCTAGATTCGAGTCTACCTCCACTGGAGAGATAGGGTTGCCAGGTCTGGGTTGGAAAATACCTGGAGACTTTGGGGGTGGAGCCAGGAGAGGGCGGGGTTTGGGGAGGGGCCTCAGCATGGTACAAAGCCATAGAATCCACCCTCCAAAGCAGCCATTTTCTCCAGGGGAGGTGATCTCTGTCATCTGGAGATCAGTTGTAAAAGCAGATATCCAGGCCCCACCTGGAGGATGGCAACCCTATGTAGAGACCAACAAGACTTTCAGGGTATAAGCTTTTTGAAAGTCAATGCTCCTTTTCTTAGGTTGTACCTGAAAATCTTGTTGGTCTGTAAGGAGCTACTGGACTACTTGTTGGTTTCTAAGGCGCTACTGGATTTGAATCCAGCTCTTCTGTCGCAGACCAACACAGCACCCTCTGAAACAGTAGTCAAAGGAAAGATTTGCCTCTGTCTCAACCAGTGTTCCCTCTAAGCTGGCTGAGTTAGTGTGAGAAAGCTCACAGTTTTTTAGCCTCCAGCTCACACACATTTTTGTCTTGGCTCAGGAAGGATAGCTCCAGAGCAAACTAATTTATGCCGTAGCCAAATCACTCGCTCACAACTTTACTGCCAGTTCGGGTCGCCAGCCTCCAGGTGGGGCCCGGGGATCTCCCGCATTTACAACTGATCTCCAGGTGACAGAGACCAGCTCCCCTGGAGAAAATGGCTGCTTTGGAGGGTGGATTCTGTGGCCTTGTACCATGCTGAGGCCCCTCCCCTCCCCAAATCCCACCCTCTTCCAGATCCACCCCCAAAGTCTCCAGGTATTTTCCAACCCAGACCTGGCAACCCTAATGCCAGTATCTTACAAAGTAGAATTTTTGCTCACAAGACTCCACAGCTTAGAGCAGGGGTGTCAAACATGCAGCCCGGGGGCTGGATCAGGCCCCTGGAGGGCTTCTCTCAGGCCCAAAGTGGAACTGGCTGTCTTCTGCTTCTTCCAGTTCTGCTGCTGCTGAGTCATCGTAGGTTTGCCGCTTACAGATACACACCTGAACAGCATACTCAAGATTGCAACAGCACAGAGATTTTGATGCAATAATTCAGAGCAAGCGGTGCAACTGTTAAATAAACAAAGTACTGCAAGAGTGCTAATATTTTAAGCATGTTTTTATTTTAAGTTAAAAAAACCCTTTGTGTTTGTGTCCTTTATAAACTTTATATCTTTGCTACCTGGCATTCCATTTTATGACACACCTGGCCCGGCCCAACAAGGTCTCCATTATGTCAGATCCAACCCTCATCAGAAATGAGTTTGACACCCCTGGCTTAGAGGCCGTATCGGCCTGGAGATGAGTGTTGTAACTCTGGGGGATCCCCAGGCCCCACCTGGAGGCTGGCTTCCAACGCTCCCTCTAAGCTGTGGCGTCTTGTGGGCAAAAATTCAACTTTGTGAGCTGCTGGCATTAGAGCGGTGAGCGAGCCATTTGTTGCTGTTGTTGATCAGTCGCACAGTCGAGTCCGACTCTTTGCGACCCCATGGACCACATCACGTCAGGCCTTCCTGTCTTTCGCCGTCCTCTGAAGTTGGCTCAACTTCATGTTCGTTGCATCTATGACACTGTCTAACCATCTCATCCTTTGCCGTCCCCGTCTTCTTTGACCTTCAATCTTTCCCAGCATCAGGGTCTTCTCCAGGGAGTGCTCCCTTCCCTACTCGTTTGGTGGCCAAAGTATTTGAGCTTCAGTTTCATTATCTGGCCTTCCAGGGAAGTCAGGGTTGATTTCTTTTAGGATGGACTGATTTGATCTTCTTGCAGTCCAAGGGACTCTCAAGAGTCTTCTCCAGCACCATAGTTCATTTGGCTACTGCACAAATCAGTCTGCTTCGGAGCCCTCCTTCCTGAGCTAAGGCAGAAATGTGTGAGCCGGAGGCGAAAAAACTGTGAGCTAGCTCACACTCACTCAGCTTAGAGGGAACACTGCTCTGGAGCCCCCCTTCCTGAACGAAGAAGACCCATATGCGTGAGCCGGGGGCTAAGGAACTGTGGGCCGGCTCGCGCTGACTCAGCTTAGAGGGAACCAGTGTTCCCTCTAAGCTGAGTCAGTGAGAGCTAGCTCACAGTTTTTTAGCCTCTGGCTCACACATTTTTGTTTCCGCTCAGGAAGGGATGGCTCCAGAGCAAACTCATTTATGCAGCAGCCAAATCACTTGCTCACGACCAATGTTCCCTCTAAGCTGTGGAGTCTTGTGAGCAAAAATTCTACTTTGTGAGCTACCAGCATTAACGCTGTGAGCGAGCCATGTGGCTACTGCATAAATGAGTTTCCTCTGGAGCCCTCCTTCCTGAGCTAGGACAACAATGTGTGAGCCGGAGGCCAAAAAACGGTGAGCTAGCTCACACTAACTCAGCTTAGAGGAAACACTGCTCACGACTTTAATGCCAGTAGCTCACAAAGTAGAATTTTTGCTCACAAGACTCCACAGCTGAGAGGGAACATTGGCAGGGAACCCTGGCCTTCCCCTCTCCGAGGCCAGCCGCCCTCCAGGCCCTCCCAGAAGGAGCCGCCGGGGCGGAGCCGCGTGAGGGGCCGGGTCGCCGGGCGGCCAGCCTGGGCCCAGGGCCGGGCGGAGGAGCGAGGGAGGGGGCCGGCCTAGATGGCGGAGGCGGAGGCGGCGACGCGGACGCCGCTTCCTCCTCCCCGCCCGCCCTGTGAGGAAAAGTTGCCGGGCCGCTCTCGCCGTCCAGAGGCGAGGAAGGAAGAAGGGGAGGAGGGAGGCGGGAAGGAGGAGGAGGAGGAGGGAGGGAGCCGCGGCCGCTCTCGGCGCGCCAGCATGGAGCGGAGGAGCAGCAGCAGCAGCAGCAGCCCGCCCGCCGCCGAGAAGGAGGGCGAGCCGGCGGAGGAGGAGGAGGCGGAGGAGGCGGAGGAGGCGGAGGCGCCCCCGGACTCGCCCCCGTTCTTCCTTCTCTACCCGGGCCGGGGAGGCGCCGCCGCGCCGGGCTTGCGGCCGCAGAGCGCCTGGAGAGCCGCCCCGCCGGGCCCGTGCGGCGTCCCGCTGCCCGTCCTGCTGAGTTACGTCGGGCCAGAGCCGGGGCAGTACCGGAGCGGCGACGTCGGTGAGCCCCGTCCCCTCCTTGCTTTCCTTTCCTTTCCTTGCCCCATCCCGGCCGCTGCCGTCGTGTCTCCCCGCCGGCCCCACCCAGACGCGCGCCCGGGCTGCTGCGCCTCCTGCAAAATCCGGGAGCGAGGAAAGACACGCGCGCCTCTGCCTCCTCTCGCCCTACTTTGGGGTTGTTGTTTTTTTAGGGCCGAGCCTTCTGGGTGTGTGAATCAGTGTTCTTCCCTCTAAGCTATGGAGTCCTGTGAGCAAAAAATCTACTCTGTGAGTTTACTGGCATTAAAGTTGTGAGCCAGTGATTTGGCTGCTGCATCAATGAGTTGGCTCTGGAGCCTTCCTTCCAGAGCTAAGACAAAAATGTGTGAGCCAGAGGCTAAAGAACTGTGAGCTAGCTCACACTGACTCAGCTTAGAGGGAACACTTGTGTGTGTGTGTTTGTGTGTGTTTTTGCACAAAGCCTGCTTTTGAATCCCCTTCTGTGCTGGGGGGGTGCGTGTGTGAGAAGCAGCCCCTTGCGAGTGCGCCCTCCCCTTAATTCACCCGGTTGCAGGATCCTTTGCAAAACCTGCTGGATCCTAACCCCCACCCCACCACACCACACCACACCACACCACACCACACCACCACTGGTTCAGTAAGAACGGAAAAGCATCTCCTAACAGGAGAGAGCTAAAGACGTATCGTAGAGCAGGAACGTCAGGTAAGCCTCGATCCTTTTTATTTGGAAGTTTAGTTCCTCCATGGGTCTGGCTGCCAAAAAGGGACTTCGGTTTGTAGCTGGATTCAGGTGGGTCGCCCTGCTGGTCTGAAGCAACAGAACAAAGTTTTGAGTCCAGGGGCGCCTTTTAAGACCAACGAAGTTTAATTCTGCGCATTGGTGTGTGCACATGAAAGCTTAGACCCAGAATTAAACTTTGTTAAAGGTGCAGGTATCTGAAGAAAGTATGCATGCACAGGAAAGCTTATACCCAGAATTAAACTTTGTTGGTCTTAAAGGTGCAGGTATCTGAAGAAAGTGTGCATGCACAGGAAAGCTTATACCCAGAATTAAACTTTGTTGGTCTTAAAGGTGCCACTGGACTCGGACTTTCTTATAAGGGTTGTTGCTTTTCCTTCAGTGTAGCTTGCGTCTTTCACTTCCCCATGCCTTTTCTGCTCATTGCCAAAGTGGGCTTTGGCACATAAAAGTGTTTATTAGGATGAAAGACTGGGTTGATACAAGCTACAAACATCTTTTAAGTAAATTTTAGTTATTTGATTAGAATATAACATACAGCTTTAAACCTCACATGTAACACATTGCAACCGATATGAGGTCCAGTGCAATTCACCGAGATGTGAAAAGCACGGTAATATAATAGAAGACTTCCCAGTACATAGAGAAAATACTTCGATAACTATGACGTAATTAACAATGCTTAAAGAAATTACATGTCAAAACCTCAGTAATTGCACTTAAACAGAAAAAAAATTGAACGCAAGCCACAAACATGTTCAGAACAGGAACCTCACATAAACCCCAGTGAGAGCCAGTTTGGTGTCGTGGTTAAGTGAACGGACTCCAATCTGCGAGAACCGGGTTTGATTCCCCACTCCTCCACTTGTACCTGGCTAAATGACCTTGGGCAAGCCGTAGTTCTGATAAGAGCTGTTCTTGAAAAAGAGCAGTTTCTGTCAAGAGCTCTCTCAGCCCCACCTACCTCACAGGGTGTCTGTTGTGGGGAAGGGAAGGGAAGGGAAGGGAAAGGAGTTCGTAAGCTGCTCTGAGACACCTTTGGGTACTGAAGGGTGGGGTATAAATCCAATCTCTTCTTCTTCATCTGCATGTTCATTCCTCAGTGGGATTTGCTCCCAAATCAAGGGGCATAGGTTTTCTGCTATTATGTATTCTTTTTTGTTTGTTTGTTTCCTTTAATATAGCTTTCTTCTTTCATCCCTCCCCCCTCCGCCTTTTCTACTCATTGCATCTGTCAAAGTGGGCTTTTGCCCATACAGGCATTTGTTGGGATGAAAAACTGGATCAATACAAGCTAAAAAACGTGTCCTGGAACAGGAATGTCACATAAACCCCAATCCTGCGTATGCTTATTTGGAAGTTCCTCGGTGGGACTTGCTCCCAAGTAAAAGGACATGGGTATGCAGCGGTCATGTATTATTTTGGTTCATTTCCTTTTCCTTTAATATAGCTTTCTCATTTCATTCTTCCTGCCCCCCACCCCGCCTTTTTCACTCATTGCATTTGTCCAAGTGGGCTTTTGCCCACAAAAGCATTGGTTGGAATAAAAGTTTGTTAGTTTTTATGGTGCCGTGAGGCTGCAGCAGACTAATTGGGCTATTTTAGTGGAATTATTCCCCCTCAATAATTTTTCCTTTCTATGGAGAAAGTTTCCCTCTCACTGGTGATAGCCCCTCTCTGTTTCCCTCAAGGATTTAGTTGTTAGTGTCAGAAAACTATTTTCTTCATTTTTCTTCAGGAGCTCACTGTTTTAACAATTAGGAAAAAAGGGGGAGCCTTAATCCAAGTCCATTGGTTATTAGACGACTCTTGATACTGCTTGTATGGATTTATGCTGTGCAATCGATGTGCTTTCAGTTTCAGTGAGAAAATTGGTAGAAAGTTGCATTCAAAAGCTTATACCCAGAGAGCCAGTTTGGTGTAGTGATTAAAAGCGGCGGACTCTAATCTGGAGAACCGGGCTTGATTCCCCACTCCTCCACGTGCACCCTGCTGGATGACCTTGGGCCAGTCACAGTTCTCTCAGGAATCTCTCAGCCCCTCCTACCTCACAAGGTATCTGTTGTGGGGAGAGGAAGGGAAGGCCATTGTAAGCTGCTCTGAGACTCCTTCAGGTAGTGAAGAGTGGGGTATAAATCCAATCTCCTCCTCTTCTTCTCCTTCTCCTCTTTTTAAAGAATCAGGTGTGCAGTAAGCACGGTTGTGTGTGGTTTTGGTGCTTAACAACCAGGGATTGTTTGACGGCGCAATGCAGTGCTTGAGCTGCAATGATTTGAAATGCAGGACACGATGGATGATGATTTTAGGCTTTAGGGTTGAAGACATTTTTGACCTCTTCTTTTGCATTATCTTTATTGGTTTGTTGTTGTTCAGTCGCACAGTCGAGTCCGACTCTTCGCGACCCCATGGACCAGATCACGCCAGGCCTTCCTGTCTTCCGCCGTCCTCTGAAGTTGGCTCAATTTCATGTTTGTTGCATCTATGACACTGTCTAACCATCTCATCCTTTGCCGTCCACGTCTTCTTTGACCTTCAATCTTTCCCAGCATCAGGGTCTTCTCCAGGGAGTGCTCCCTTCCCTACTCGTTTGGTGGCCAAAGTATTTGAGCTTCAGTTTCATTATCTGGCCTTCCAGGGAACAGTCAGGGTTGATTTCTTTTAGGATTGACTGATTTGATCTTCTTGCAGTCCAAGGGACTCTCAAGAGTTTTCTCCAGCATCATAGTTCAAAAGAATCTATTCTTCGGCGCTTGGCCCTCTTAATTGGCACGGAGGCTTTATTCCAGATGAGGGGTGAAGAATGCAAGAACCTTGTGAGGGAGATAGATTCAGGTGGGTAGCAACAGAACAAAGTTTGAGTTCAATGGCACTTCTAAGACTAATCAAGTTTAATTCTGGGTATAAGCTTTCGTGTGCATGAAGAAGTGTGCATGCACAGGAAAGCTTATACCCAGAATTAAACCCTGATGATCTTAAAAGGTGCCACTGGACTCAAGCTTTGTCCTGTGAGAGAGGTTAGGCTGGGAGTGTGTCAGTGGTTCTAGGTCACGCAGCAAACTTTCATGACAGTGTGGGGGGTTCAAATCTGGGTCTTTCAGATCCTGGTCTGACACTCTAACTCAGGGGTGTCGAACTCATTTGTTATGAGGGCCGGATCTGACATAAATGAGACCTTGTTGGGTCGGGCCATGTGTGTTATAAACTGTAATGCCAGGTAGCGGAGATATAAACTTTATAAAGGACACAAACACAAAGTTTTTTTGAAAACTTAAAATAAAAACATGCTTAAAACATTAGCACTCTTTGCATATTTTGTTTATTTAACAGTGTCTGTTAACTGACACTTCTTGCTCTGAATTATTGCATCAAAATGTCTGTGCTGTTGCAATCTTGAGTGTGCTGTTCAGGTGTGTATCTGTAAGCTGCAAACCTACGATGACGCAGCAGCAGCAGAACTGGAAGAAGAAGCAGAAGACATCCAGTTCCACTTTGGGCCTGAGAGAAGCCCTCTGGGGGGGCCTGATCCGGCCCACGGGCCACATGTTTGACACCCCTGCTCTAAATTGCTACACCAGGGCTGCACACACACACACTAAATAATCCACTTTCAGTGCACTTTCTAACTGGAATTTTACTGTGTGAACTGGCAAAATCCAGTTGGAAAGTGCATTGAAAGTGGGTTGAAAGTGGAGTATTTAGTGTGTGTGACCGCAACCCAATTGGGATGTTAACAAGGAGGTCTTTTTAGCTCTTTCTGTATTTGTTTATCTCTTCATGAGGCTGAAGGCTGGGCCGGAGTAAGAATAGTTTCAGGGAATGAGGTAGCTGGAAGAGGCACTGAATGTTTCAGACTGCAAGACGTTGAGATTTCCTTGAAATCTGTCCTCGAATCTTAACTTTTCCATGTGACCTTTGGCTCCCTTTACTCCCAACTGCAACCAAGCTGTGTGTACATCCTGTTGCACTTGTTTACTTTTGTATCTCTCCCTTTCCTTTCTTCTCTATTATCCGTTACAGATTGTAAATTCCCTTGGGACAGAGACTTTCCGATTTTGCCTCTGTAACTCTGTATGACAGACTGCTGCTACATATATAATAGGTATTAGTAGCCAGAAATTTAGGTATTAGTAGCCAGTTTGGTGCAGTGGTTAAGTGTGCAGACTCTAATCTGGGAGAACCAGGTTTGATTCCCCACTCATCCAGGTCCAGCTGCTGGATGACCTTGGGCAAGCCATAGTTATGTCAGAGCTGTTCTTGAAAAA